GAGAAGGAAGTCTGTGGCAGAGAGACAGGGAAGAAGGTTAAGGGCAAGTTGGAACGCTGTGAGCACAGGCTGACACTTGTGGTCCACAGTAGTAAGGAAATAATGATCACAAGGAGGCTGAAACTCCAGGAGCATGGACTGTTTGAAATCTCTGAACTTAAGAAAGGCCTAAGTCCCATTTTAAAGGGCTTGACTGATTAAGTCAGGCCCACTCAGGATAGTCTTTTTTCTTTTTTTTGGCATTCCAGTAAAACTTTATTTTAACATGCAGTGACATCAGGCAGGCAGTGTTCCAATAAAACTTTATCTACAGACGGTGGTGTCTGAGACAAGCAAGTGGTGTTCCAATAAAATTTTGTCTATGGTGATGGCTGATTATATTGATATTTACTTCTATATTTTATTTATATATTATCTAAGTATTGGCTTAAAAGAAAAAGTAAGCACTTAACATGCTTTTTTTTGTCTTGTTTTGTTTTATTTTAAAGATATGTGGTAAAATTTAGGATTAGTTATGCAAGTGGACATCGTACGTCTTGCTTTTGATAAACTTAAAGACAACTGATTAGGGGCTTTTTGTTTATTTATTTTCAGCAAATTTACAGCAAACAAAAGTGACTTTTATCACATCTGCAAAGTCCCTTCACAGCAGCAGTTAGATTAGTGTTTGATTAAATACCGGGAAGTACAGTTCAGCCTGGCCAAGTTTACCCATCAAATAGTCATCACACAACAGCAGCCAGTATATGAGACTTGTGTTCCTTTTCTATTCCTCCCTCGCTAAGAGCCTAGAAGAGAGAGATGAAGGGGTCTGAGAGCCAGACCCTCTCTCTCTCCCACAGTCTCCAAAGGGAGAGGATAGGAGTGAATAGCAGACCACATCCCTTCTCTAGCCATGTCCCCTGCCTTGCAGTGGGAAGGGGAAATCTTTGAACAGATATAAGACAAAATGTTAACAGTGGACAGCACGTAAGAAGCTTTGAGGCCTACCCAAGATGTCACTAAGATAATTGCTAGCCAGCAAGTAAAAGAGATCTGACATGGCAAACTTGGGTACAGTGACTGAAAACAAAACTCCCCTGAGTGCAGACAACTAGATTACAGAGTGATTAGATTACAACCATTAGGTGAGAAGAGCTGCAGATGTTTAAACGAGGAGGAAGAACAAATGGGTAGAGAGGTCAGGGAAAGCTTGTTTCTAAAAGATAGACTTTGGGCCAAGTGCAGTGGTTTGCACCAAAATCCCAGCACTCTGAGAGGCTGGGGCAGGAGGGTTGCTTGAGGTCATGAATTTGAGACCAGTCTGGCAAAATAGTGAGAGCCTATCTCGTAAAGGAAGGAAGGAAAGAAGGGAAGGGAAAGAAGGAAGGAAGGAAGAAAATATAAGGTGGAATTTGGACTGACCCTTAAGGACCAGCAGTGTTTAGAAAGCTGGCAGAGGGGAAACTAGTGAGAATAAAGAGTTAGGGAAATGATACTCACCCCCGGGGAGGGAAGACAGGGAGGACACCGGACTGGTTGATCTGAACAACATCTGTGTGTTCAGGAGCTAAGTACTGGTGGGGGCTGGATCACACAGGGCCTCAAGGGCCAGGGAGAGGAGCTGAAATCTGATGAAGCAGAAGGTAGGAAATCATTGTAGATTCTTGAATGGAGAAATCTTGAGAAAAGGTTTGGTTTTGTTTAGAATCTTTTAAAGACAGATTAATGTGACAGTGGGATAATATAGATACGTTTTGGAGAAGGACCAGGATTCCAGGGAGGCTAGTTAGGATGCTGCCATGGTATTCTCGACAGGAATTCATAATCACCTGATGTACAACTATAGAGGTAAAATGGAATTGGAGGAGAGTGGGAACACCTGTGAAATAGTTCAAAGACAAAAACAGTAAGATCGATGATCAAATGGAAGTATGATGGCAGAAAACATAATTTTTGGTATTCCCTGGTTCCTTCTGGTATTTCTTGCTTCCTAGCTTGGGGATCTAGAAAAATGGAAATATCACAGATGTCAATGAGGAAGTTAAATCTGTTTGGGGAATCAAGACGGTTCATTCAGTTTGGGGTTGTTGAGGCTGAAGCCATGATCTGAAGTAGAAATACCTGGCAGAAGTTGCAGATAACAAACACGTAGTCAGAATTGCCTGAAAGGGTGTGCAGGAAGGGCTGCAAGGGGGACGGCTAGGCCAGGGCACTGAGGAGTCTGGAGCTGCAGGTGGCATCTTCATGTTTCTTCCAGCTGCAGGGAGGGCTTCGGAAGAGAGAGGAGTACATAGGAACAGAGCAGTTGGCTACCCAGATGGTGTCAAGAACACAGTGGGATTTTATTTCTGGGCCAAGGCTTAAGATCCTGGAACTGATGAGTTTTTGGCAAGGAACTGGAGAGTCATGAGGACAAAAAAAAAGTGTTTTCTTTCTTTTTTTTTTAAGTAGGAAGGAGAGGCATCATTGGGAAGGAAACAGGAAATTGTTTGAAGGAAGGACAAAATGTAGAAAATGAAGAAAGAAAACTGAACAAATAAGGTCTAAAAGAAAAAATAACATTGTAGCAGATACTTCATAGTCTTATGACATAATTATATGTGAAAGGAAGCCAAATTTATTGCTAACCTTTGAATTTATTATATGCCAGCAATGCAGCAAATTCTTTATGCACATGGTTTTATTTAATTCTTACAAGCTCAAATTTTTTCTGCACTCAACAGTATATAGTGGATATCTCTTCATGTCAATAAAGGTCTGTATTGTCATTTTTAATAGATGGATAGTATAGTATTCCTTTATATGAAGATCCATTGTAGTAAGCTACAATGAACTCTTCTGTGCATATATTTTTTCCTACTTTTTTTGTGTACTCTTTTTCTTAAGTGACGAATGAACATTTTTAGTTTTAAATTTTTTGAGCAATATCATGATTCAAAAATATTTAAACATATATAGCAAAAGGTTTTCTTCTATTCTTTTCCCCTGTCCCACCCCAATCACCATGCATTTTCCTTGCATCTTTCCATAATTTCTTTGTTATGTAAGTAAATAGAAATATTTATTATTTTTTCCTTTTTGAAAACACAAAATGTAAAAAGCATCTTGTGATCGTCTCTTAAAGGCTGGGGTTCCCAACCCCCGAGCCACAGACTGGTTAGGAACCGGGCCATATAGCAGGAGGTGAGTGGTGGGCGAGTGAGCAAAGCTTCATCTGTATGTACAGCTGTTCCCATCACTTATATTACCACCTGAGCTATGCCTTCTGTCAGATCAGCAGCATTATTAGATTATCATAGGAACACGGATCCTATTGTGAACTGCGCATGCGAGGGATCTAGGCTGCACGCTCCTTATAAGAATCTAGGCAACTTGGCGAGACCTCATCTCTACAATAAATCAAAAATTAGCTGGGTGTGGTAGCACGCGCCTGTAGTTCCAGCTACTTGGAAGGCTGAGGCGGAAGGATGGCCGGAGCCCAGCAGGTCGAGGCTGCGGTGGCCGGGAGCGGCCACTGCACTCCAGTCTGGGTGACAGAGTGAAACTCCAACTCAAAAAAAAAAAAGAATCTATGCTTGACGATCTGAGGTGGAGGTGGGGTGGTGATGCTCATGCTGGGAAGCGGCTACAAATATAGATTAACATGAGCGGTAAGGTTTGACTGCACAAGACCATGGTAAATCAACTGCTTGCAGATTCCCAGCAAAACCGTCTCCATGGGTGACCAGTAAGTTGATGGACTTCAATTGTACAGCTGCATCTGGTGGCAGGCTTTAAGTCAGAAGTCAACACTTATTTTAGCCCACACGTGGCCCCCCTATTATTTTATTTACTACTTCCATCCACACCACCTTTTGTTAATGGTGAGTTGTATATTTAATTAAACATTACAAGACAATAATAATAGAAATAAAGTGCACAGTAAATGTTATGTGCTTGAATCATTCTGAAGCCATACCCATTCCTCCCTAATCCGTGGAAAAATTGTCTTCCACAAAACCAGTCCCTGATGCCAGAAAGGTTGGGGACTGGAGCTTCAGGGTAAAATCTTAGAGGTGGTATTGCTGAATTAGAGGGTCATTTTCAGCTACATTGTTTTTTTTTTTTTAAGTCAGTCTCACTGTCGCCCAGGCTAGAGTGCAGTGGCACACTCACAGCCACTGCAGCCTTGACCTGATGGGCTCAGGTGATCCTTCCACCTCAACCTTCCAAGTAGCTGGAAATACAGGCATGTGCTACCATGCCTGGCTAATTTTTCTTGATTTATCATAGAGATGAGGTCTCACCAAGTTGCCAGGCTGGACTTGAACCACTGGGCTCAGGCAATCCCCTCACCTCTGCCTCCCAAAGTGCTGGGATAACAGGTTTGAGTCACCATACCTGGCAAGCTAAAATCTAAATACATTTCCAATTGCACATCAGAAAGGTTGTACAATTTATATTCCCACCTACAATGCACAAGTGTTACTCAATTTATTTTATTTTCTAAGTTCAGTGTATCTTTGTATTTCAAAATGTATGGGGAGCCCAGAATGAGTGTTAAGAATTACTATAATTTGTAATATAAAGTGGAATCGGTATTATACAGAATTTATTATACAAAAGACTTTAGGCTTTTACCATTTATAATTTGTAACATAGAAAAATGGACACAATGGGAAGAAAAGTTTGATCTAAGTTACTTATTTTTCTGATTCTCTTATTTGATAGGTGAAGAGACAATGAAAAGAAAATATCAGTTTGGGAGGTAAAGATGGAAAACAGAGCCGGAAAAGACAAAAAATAAGCAGAGTGAGAAACAGGGACAGCCTTAAGATAGGAGTGAAAAAGGGGTGAACATTTCCAGTGGTTCCATGCATCTGATAAGGCATATTTTCAGAACATCTCTTCCTGTTACATTTTTTTCTAGACTCTTGTTACAGTCTCTACTTTCTATCATTGAATTGGTTCATAGGATTGTAATATAAATCAAATTTTCAATGGAATGAATATGTTCTTTTGTTTTTGTTCTTTGATAGAATTGATTACCTGAAGAAATGGATACTTCTCCCTCTAGAAAATATCCAGCTAAAAAACGGGTGAAAATACATCCCAACACAGTGATGGTAAAATATACTTCTCACTATCCCCAGCCTGGGGATGATGGATATGAAGAAATCAATGAAGACTATGGAAGTTTTATGGAAGAAAATCCAAAGAAAGGTCTGCTGAGTGAAATGAAAAGAAAAGGAAGAACTTTCTTTGGAACCATGGACGCCCGACCTCCACCAACAGAAGACCCAATGACCAACGAGATCGGACAGTTCCAGAGCTTTGCAGAAAAAAATATTTTCCAATCCCGAAAGATGTGGATAGTGCTGCTTGGGTCTGCTTTGGCTCACGGATGTGTAGCTCTCATCACTAGGCTGGCTTCAGATCGTTCTAAAGTTCCATCTCTAGAACTGATTTTTATCCGTTCTGTTTTGCAGGTCTTGTCTGTGTTAGTTGTGTGTTACTACCACGAGGCCCCCTTTGGACCCAGCGGATACAGATTACGACTCTTCTTTTATGGTGTGTGCAACGTCATTTCTATCACCTGTGCTTACACGTCATTTTCAATAGTTCCTCCTAGCAATGGGACCACTATGTGGAGGGCCACAACCACAGTCTTCAGTGCTGTTTTGGCTTTTTTACTTGTCGACGAGAAAATGGCTTATGTGGACATGGCCACAGTTGTTTGCAGCATCTTAGGTGTTTGCCTTGTCATGATCCCCAACATTGTGGATGAAGACAATTCTTTGTTAAATGCCTGGAAAGAAGCCTTTGGGTACACTATGACCGTGATGGCTGGGCTGACCACTGCGCTTTCTATGATAGTATACAGATCCATCAGGGAGAAGATCAGCATGTGGACTGCCCTGTTTACCTTTGGTTGGACTGGGACAGTCTGGGGACTATCTACTATGTTCGTTCTTCAGGAACCCATCATCCCATTAGATGGCGAAACCTGGAGTTATCTGATTGCTATATGTGTCTGCTCTACTGCAGCATTCTTAGGAGTTTATTATGCCCTGGACAAATTCCACCCAGCTTTGGTTAGCACAGTGCAACACTTGGAGATTGTGGTAGCTATGGTCTTGCAGCTTCTAGTGTTACACATATTTCCTAGTGTCTATGATGTCTTTGGAGGAGTGATCATTATGATGAGTGTTTTTGTCCTTGCTGGCTATAAACTCTACTGGAGGAATTTAAGAAGGCAGGACTACCAGGAAATACTAGACTCTCCCATTAAATGAATACCCATTATTATCTTGTTAATGTTCGTTTATTAATATAGACACTGCCATTTTAATGTTTACCTATAAATGTCTTTTGTGTTGTATGACTGACAGAGTGCTAAATAATATATAATATATACAGAAAAATTATTCTAGTCTAATATATTTAAATATAAACATTAAATATGTGAAATATGTCATGTGCTTGGTGTCCTTACTCGTAGTTATTGGTGTCTTTACAGGTAATTGTGGTAGAAGGAGAATGTAAACTTCCATCACTAAATAACACAAGACTTTTTGCGTTTTCAGTTCATGAATGCTCAATACTAAATCCTCTCTGTCACAATATCTTGTGATTTCTGTTTTCCTGACTAATGTCTACAAGCCTTCCCCAAAGCAATCCATGGACATTAGAAGGGTACTTATGCTTTGGGAAAATGCCAACATTTCCCATTTTCAGGAATTACTAGACACTGGCTCTCAACAGAATTATGCAAACCGAGCACAGAAAGAGAAAGATTACAAATAATACTAATAATGAACAGAGCCTGAATGACTTAAGTATTGAGAAGTCTAGTGTAAGTGTAACTGCTGTCTCAGAAGAAGAGGAATAGAGAATAGAGCACAAAGAAATATTGGTCAAAAGTCTCCCAAATTTGATAAAAGGAAAGAAAATAAGAAAACAGCAGCTCACAGAACCATAGGACTAAAAGAACCAGAATAAATACAAAGAAAACCACAACTAGAAACATCCCAGTGTAACTTTTGACAAAGCTAAAGAAACAAATCTTAGAGCAGCCATAAAAAAGACATATTACATACAGGAAGACGATTTTTAAGAATTACAACTGGCTTCTAAGCAGAAACAATGGAAGCCAGAAGATAAGAGAACGAGATCTTTAAAGTGCTGTATGAAAACCCTTTGATGCCCTCTCACTGCCTGTGTGCTTGACTTCCCTGACCTGGTCTTTGCTTGCGTTTCTAGCCACCCTCTCCTCCAGCAATAGTCCTCTGTTGTTTAACACTTCTGTGTTATGCAGGCTCCTGTATGTGGAAAGCCCATCTCTTCTTTGCTCAGATAATTGCCTGAGCACACAACTCCTCTCCCCATGACTGTTTTCCTTGTACGTATCTATTTTTGTATTTACTATAGTAAAAATACCTGTTTATACCTGACTGTCTGACAGTGGATTGAGCTCCTTTATGATAGGGACTGATCTTTAGATTGTCAGTACCTACCACAGAGTAGACGGTTAATTGATTTTTGTTAACTTCCACAGAAGTATAACAATACTCAATCCCAATGAAGGGCCAGGCATGGTGTCTTGTGCCTGTAATCCTAGCTACTGGGGAGGCTGAGGCAGGAGGACTGCTTGAGGTCAGGAGTTTGAGGCTGCCGTGAGTGATGACCGTGCTACTGCACTCCAGTCTGGGAAACAGAGAAATGCCTCGTCTCTGGGAAGGGGGACAGAAATTAAATTTGGTTACCAGGGCCCACTAGTTTCTATACCTCACAGCTGATCCTGTGATTATTTACTTTTTGCTGATAGGTTGGTAGAACTTTTTTTTGTTGCAAACACTCCTGCCTCACCATGATGCTAAACTAGATAATTCTCTCTAGCCATTTTTTTTCTTTTTTGAGTTGGAGTCTCACTCTGTCGCCCAGACTGGAGTGCCGTGGCATGCTCCTGGTCACCGCAGCCTCAACCTGCTGGGCTCTGGTGATCCTTCCGTTTCAGTCTTCCCAGTAGCCGAAACTATCGGCGCATGCTACCATGCTCGGCTAATTTTTGATTTATTGTAGAGACGAGATCTTGCTAAGTTGCCCGGGTGGGTCTCGAACAAGCGGGCTCAGGCAATCCACTCGCCTCAGCCTCCCAAAGTGCTAGGATTACAGCCCGGTCCTCTCTAGCCATTTTTAACTATGAGTGTCTATAGGTTTCTGGGAAGGACCTTTTGCCTTTCTTGTCTTCCCAAATCCTCTCCTTTGGTATTAAAGAAGTGAGCCATCTACATGTTTTTATCCTAGACAGATTAGCTGCCCATTTCTGGTCCATAGGTCATAAGTTCTTTTATTTATTTATTTTTTTGAGTTGGAGTCTCACTCTGTCACCTACTCCCGGTGACCGCAGTCTCAACCTGCTGGGCCCCGGTGAACCTTCCGCCTCAGCCTTCCAAGTAGCTGGAACTACAGGGGCGTGCCACCACGCCCGGCTCATTTTTGATTTACTGTAGAGATGAGGTGTCGCGAAGTTGCCCAGGCGGGTCTTGAACCCACGGGCTCAGGCAATTCACTCACCTCGGCCTCCCAAAGGCGCGGGATTACAGGCTGAGCCACTGAGCCCGGCTCATAAGTTCTTTTGACCCATGTTTTCTTGTTGCCCGATTCTGGTTAGTCCCAGAGGTCTCTCTGGTGTCCCTTTTTATAAAGGCACTAATCCTATGAGATTAGGGCTTCCCCCTTATGACTTCATTTAACTTTACCCCCTAAAGGCCTATTTCTAAAAACAGATGGTCCCTGACTCAAGACTTTTCCACTTTATGATGGTGCAAAAGCCATATGCACTCTGGAAACCATACTTTGAGTAGCCACATTATCCTTCCTTTCAGTCTTCAATAAATTACACGAGATATTCCATACTTTTTTATAAAATAGGCTTTGTGTTAGATGATTTTGCCCAACTGCAGGCTAATGTAAGTGTTCTGAGCATGTTTAAGGTAGGCTAGGCTAAGCTATAATGTTTGGTATATTAAAAAAGCATTTTTGACTGAAGATATTTTCAATCTATTATGGGTTTATTGGGATGTAACCCTATTGTAAGGAGCATCTGTAGGGTCATACTGGGAGTTAGGGCTTCAACATATGAATTTTGAGGAGGACATAATTCAGCCCATAGCAGCCATGGTAAAATATGCAAAGTTATTTAAACCCTTAGAATAAATTAAGAATTCATGTACAATGCTAATAATGGAATGCAAACATAGGCTAGCTGTTGCCGGGTTTCATGGTTTCCTTGACCCAGCCAACTGGGACTAGTAAGGGCACAAATAGGTAATTTGCCCTTGACCTTGTGATTCTATATACGGCAGGTTGCCTCAGTCGCCTTTAGTGTTGCTATAAGCGAATACCTGACGCTGGGCAATTTATAAGGGAAAAAAAGGCTTATTTGGCTCACGGTCCTAACGCCTGGAAAAGTTCAAGACTGGGCACTGCATCGGGTGAGGGCCTAGGGCTGCTTCCACTCCTGGCAGGAGGGGAGGGGAGGCAGGCTAGGCAAGGATCACATGGTCAGAGAAGAAGCAGAAGAGAGGGCAGAGAGGCGCCGGGATCTTTTCAACCAGTTCTGGTGGGAACAAGGAGAAAGAACTCACCCACCCGCTCCCAAGGAGTTCATTCATCTGTTAACCACGGAACCACCTCCACGACCCCAACACTCCCACTGGGGCCCCACCTCCAACAACGGGGATTCCTTTACACGCGTTCAGGGATTAAACATCCCAACCACAGCACAGGCCAGCCCACACACGTGCACGCACACCGAAGCAAATAACTTTAAAGTCCATTGCAGGAACTGTGAACTCTTGGCGTACAGTCAGGGCGCAGATGAAAGGGAAAGGGAAAGGGAAAGGAAAATGTACGAATGCCTGCCACAGGATTTGCTGGCCCTCGTGAGCAAGCCTGAGCCCGGACACGGCGCCGGACTTCAAGGCGTCCAGGATGCAGGTAGGGATCCGGACGGCCGTCTCGGCATCCTGGATGGGGAGGACACCTGTGCTCCAAGAACGGGGCCGAACCCAGCGGCTTCCCCGAGGGGCGACCCCTAAGCGGAGCCACAGAGACGGCGGAGAAGGAAGGAGGCCGGTGAGCCGGGCTGAGCCCGGGCGTGGGGAAGAGCGACTTACGGAGGCTCCAGCCGGTGGCCGGGACCCGGCCCGGAGGGTGCCGATCCCAGCGCTGCAGCGAGGCTGGAGGCTGCTCGGGGGCCCGGACTCGGCTCCTCTGGGCTCGACCCCCGACGAGGCACACGTCTCGCACTTCCTCCCGGGCCTCCACGTCCAGGCCTTCTGGCTTTTCTTTGTCGCTCCCTGCCCCTAGGACCCATCCGCTGGGAGGACGCCCCTCGGGTGCAGGGCCTGGAGGAGGCCGCCGGAGCAGCCGGGGCTGACCCGGAGGCCCGAGACGCCGTCCCGTGCGCCACGGACGCTCCCGAAGCAGAAGCCGAAGCGGCCCGCGGCGGGGCCGCGCCGCTCGCCCTCCCGCGC